CACCAACACCGGTAACCCGACTGAGCCTGGATTCTTGGAGGCCAAAGAACCCCGTCACAGTGACCCAAATCATCACTGTTACTGTTATTGTATAGTAAATTAAATCATTACTGTTAAATTGTATTTCATTTCCAATTGTTTATTTGAATTCTTATTCTGGATTAGTTGGAGACATACACTAGGCCAGGGGTCTTCAACATTTCCCAGGCTAAGGACCCCCAAACTGATGGCGAGATGGGAGCCGGGACCCCCTAATTATGCATATTGTATGAAATTGTGTTATATCAAGTTGGTGCTATGGTCACTATATTAAAAATGGTGTCATGTAACAGGTAGTTTCACCCTGGGATTATTAAAGTATTTCTGATTCTAATTCTCCATTGATGGGACAGGTGTTGTGATTGAAACAGTGCCCAGCTTGAAAGAGTTCCTGTGTGTCGCTGAATGTGTGCATTGATGACTGAAAGACATCTTCTGCCTCCATTTATCTGTTAAATGCAGTGTGTTGAATTCATGTTAATGTGTATTTAAACACATTTCAATTAGTAGAAAAATTGCAGGGGGAGTAGAAAAAAAAAAGTCTAATCAACCAAACCTTTCGCGACCCCCATGCAGTACCCCTATGGACCCCCTAGGGGTCGCGGACCCCCTGTTGAAGACCTCTGCACTAGGCTACTGTATATCAGCCCCACCAAAAATATTTTTCACCAGCCGCCACTGCTATTAAGACAGTTTTATAGAGAGTTCAGATTGAAATATGTATGATTTCAATATTGTAACTCAATAACATAGACTAAAAAAATTTTTAAATTAGTGAAAATATTTAGGTTTGTCTCATCCTTGTGAATCTAATCCTATGTCTCTGTACTAATCTGTAGGTAATTGTGATTTCTCTGAGTTTTGTATTTTTACCATTTTTAGTGGTTTAGTTTTCCCTGTATTCACTTTGGTGTTTATTAGTCACCCTCCTTTATTTCCCTTCTCAGGTTCTCAGCTGCACCTCATCTTTTTGATAAAAATAAAAAAAAACCTGGTTCTCAAACCAGACACCTGCCTCCCATCATTTTCCATCATTCCTCGCTGGATCCTGCACTGTTATCATGTTTTCTTATTTCACTCTAGCTTTATTTTTTCTCTTTTGTGTTAAATCCTCCTTCACCACTAGGTTTTGAACATGTTTTTTTTTTTTTTTTCTGCACGTTTCTTTGTGCTGAATTTCTGCTGCCTTGATCATGTTTGTGTCCTCTATCACCACACACGACTGCTTTGTCTTTTCTTGGAAGCTAAAGGTATCAGTGTAATCCTAATATGTAGTATAAAGCAACTCATACTATAGAATGAATGATATTTTGTTGTTATGTTTTTCATCTTATAGCCAACCAAAGCAATGTTCAGTCTGTAAAGAGGCTTTAATAGCTGGAGAGTCGTGTCAGTCGTCTTCAACATCTGATGAATTTTGTCCAAAGTGCCAAAAAACAACTCCAGAAACACATGGTAAAGTTT